GATGGGTAGGGGGAGGTGGGCGGGTAGGGTGACGGGTTGGGGTGTGGGGTGGTTGTATAATGGGCATGGGCATGATATGGGTAGGGTGCGGGGGTGGGCCGGGGGCCCAACACCCCGGGATTAGGGTTTGGGTACGGTGAGTTCCAGAAAGTGTGCCCATCCGTGGGTGGTCGTTGCCTCGAACCGCTGTTTTGGCGCCCTCGACCACGACCCCGGTTGCCGTTTCCGCGCCCTTGTCCGCGTCCAAAGCCACCACGCTGCCCGGAGGAGGAACCATCACCATAGTTGCTGCCAAAAAATTGTCCCACACCGCCGGAGTTGCTGCCGTGAGGAGAGCCGCGCCCGCCAGTCCCGCCGCGCTGTCCGCCTGCGTAGCTGCTGCCGCCATGCCCCGCCAGCAGCGCCGTGCTGCTGGTGCTGCCCAGGGGGGTCCGTTGTCGGTCAAGGAGGAGGAGGGCCGACCGGACCTGGAGAAAACTCGGCATGGGATCTTGAAATTGGAGGAACGAGGTCTGAGCCTGGAGATATTCGGGGAGGCCGCGTAACATCTGAAGAATCAATTGGTGCTCTGAAACGATGGCATCGACGTCGTCCAGCCAATCCGCAATATTCCGGAGTTCTTGACCATAAGAGGCCATAGGGGTGGATCCCTTGACTGTGGTACGGAATTGGTGCTCGAGCTGCATGGCGCGAGCATGCTTGTTGTCGTGAAACAGATCATGAATCATCTTCCAGAGAGCAGAGGCAGAGGAGGCGGAGGTCAGAACCAGATCAGAGACTTCATCAGTAATAGTGGAAAGAATCCAGCCTTGGAGAATGGCGTCAAGTTGGTACCATTCATCATCATCTTTTGAGATAGGGACAATAGACCCGTCAAGGTAGCCGTGGAGGGTGAACCGCCGGGCAAGGAGGAGGAATAAGCGGCTCCACTTCTTGTAATTTGGTTGAGAAAAACTGAGTTGAATAGGGACATGTAATTTGACATTAGAAACAGAGAAAGCCAGATGTGGAGATTTTTGGGTGGTAGATTGAGAGGTGATCTCGCTTTCAGCCATGGTAGAGAGAGGAGGGGTGGCCGGCCGTGCTAGAGAGAGGGAGAGTGGCGGCGGCGCTGGTGTCTCGGCGAGGGAGGAGGGAGGCCGAAAGTCAGAGAGGGAGAATTAGGGTTTTTGGTTAGGCTCCATACCATGAAGAAGAATTATTTTCATTGATTAAATTGTGAGGAGAGTACGTGTATATATACAAAAGTCTCAATCCTAATTAAGGTAGGAGAGACAATCTAGGAAACCTATACAAATATGGTAACAATAATAATATAATAATATTAAATATATTATATATATTTAACAAGGGATTCTGGCTTCCTCATACACAAGGCCGTTGTACCTGTCATAGACGAGGCTGCGAGTTAGAGATGTTGATGATAAAAATATGGTATTGATTTTTGAATCATTAATTCGGGGGATGAACGGTAAACAATTTATTTTAACAATGTTAAATACAAAGTAGATGTTAATATACAAAACTAAATGTAGAGTTAAATGTGTATATGCAAAGTTAAATGTGGAATAATAAGCGTCTACAAAGTACATATATACTCGTATTATTTTAAATAAAATACTTTTATTGATATGAAGAAAAAGTGAAGTCCGAGAAATACTATACCCCAAAATAAGATAAGGCCTATACAAATAGTTCAATACCAAAACACGTGTAGTTTACTTGGCTTGAGAACTACTTTACTTACTCATTTTATATGAAATATCAAAAACAAAAAAAAAAATCAAGATCCATCGGAGAATAAGCCTCTTGCACTAATAGCCAAAATATATTCTCCTGCTACTAAAAATCGAATCCAATACTGACAGATGGACAATAACTCAAATCTTAGTGCAAATAAAAATAAAATACTACTTGTATAAAATGAAATGTCCTAACTTAAATGACTATCCAAAGTCTTAGGGGCTGTTTGGCAACTTCTGAATAGGTAAGTGATGAACCAGTAAGAGGGCTGAACCATTAAGTGCTGAACCAGTAAGAGGTCTGAACCATTAAGAGCTAGTATATTGCTTAAGAGGTCTTAACCATTCTGACTCCGTATAATACTTAACCATTCAGAGGCAAATCTCTTAACCATTCAGACATCTGAACCATTAAGAGACTAAAAGAAACAGTCTGAATCATTAAGTGCTGAACCATTCAGACATCTGAACCATTAAGAGGCTAAAACAAACAGCCCCTTAGTCTTAGAAGCCCATCCGGCAACTGTCAAAATCACACGACTTTAACAAACTATTAGAACTAAAATGAATCTCATCAAATTCTTGTAGCTACTCTATAAACCCAATATTCAAGGACCTGTGGATCGGATCACCATGGAAAATTAAAACATGCAAGAAACAATAATTTTTAATTAAACGCCATTTCTACTTTCAACCTTAATTTTCAAGAAATGAAAAATGTAGAAGAAAACTTTAATATTAATGGTTATCTATCTCAAAACCCAAAAGAATTTGAAATAAAAAGGAAAAAAACACTATGTTTTTATTCAGAAGCCAAAGTTGTACACTTATGATCAACAATCTTAACCATACCAAAGCCATGTATTTCATTGTTGTTATATGGAAATCAAAGTAGAGATATGTCTAATGTTCAATATCATCAGTACCTATTTTGGGTTCTTCATGGCGCTGAAACCAAATGTTGTACGGAGTACTTTCTATTGACAATACGCTCATGGACTTGGTGGTAGGTTGGAAGAGTGGTTGTTTCTGTAAATATTTAGTACTCCCTCCGTCCCCAATTTGATTACAAATTGCGGATTACGAATTAAATATTTAGTGTAACTTATGGTCAGAATGTAATTCTTTGATCATAGGAAAACTATATCCAAGAAATACCCAAAAAAATATTTGCACTAAATAGCACTAAAACTTAAGTCATTTCCCTAAATAGCACTTAAATTATTTTATTCCGTAAATAGCACTTAATAATGTCCATAATGTCCTGTGATGGCAAATATTTGTTTGAATAATGACTAATGCATAATGACTAAAAGTGCTACATTGGGAAGAAAAAACACATGTGATGCTATTTGGAGAAAGTCATTATATTTTAGTGCTATTTAAGTAAATTTCTCCAAACCACTAAATCAATTCACTAAATCATATTCAATTCACTAAATCATACGGAGTATATATCCCAGCAATTTTGGAGTCAAGATGTTCACAAGCCTGATGCATTCATGCAATTATTCTCAAAAAATTCATAGAAAGTAAGAAACAAAGTAAGATTAACAAGCTATTATGTCCATTCACCTTTTAGTGAGGGCAGGATGCAGCAATTTCATTATTCTTCCTCGCAATAGAAGAATATAGCTCTCACACCCAACCACTTGAGCTATTCTTCTTCTATTTTTCTGATCGTCAATATATCAATCAAAAAAGGTAGAAGATGTTAGACACTTCTAAATGACAGTAATTTACCTGCCCAACTCAATTGCCTCTGGAAAATTCATACAAATATTTCAACATTGTTAAAAAACCAAATAAGCACTACTGATTTTAATTAAATATCCAATGTACTCCCTCCGTCCTATAATGATCTTCCCGGTTCACAAAACGAAGAAAAATTCCAAGTTTTTTCAATCTATTTTATTTAAATATTGGTATAGAAATAAAAAATAAAACATACATATTTAAAAACTACACCAAAAGTTCAACAAAACAAGTGGTGACAAGAATATTTTATTTTATCATATAGGCCATGAAAAAACAAAAACAAATATAAATTCCCGTGAAGTTGGAATAGTGCTCTGGAAAGATCATTATAGGTCGGAGGGAGTAATTTTTTAGATGGTTGATTCATTATTTTAAGACTCGTTATAAGTTATCTTCCTTATTGTATTGTTACCATAGTTCTTCTCTTATTATGATAAAGACTCTTTCTTGTAATCCCTATATATTGAGACGTATCTTTTAATATTTAATAAGATCATATCGGAGCTAAGGTTCTCAAAAACCTAGCCTTTGACTTTTCTAGCCGAGCACATCCCCAGTCTTTGTTCACGGCAATCTACGATCCGATAGCAAGACATCATCAACCGATATCGATGAGTGTGCCTTACATCTTTCGTCCATTATCTCTCTCTTTTTTCTCCAAAAAAAATCTATCATCTCTCTCTTCCAAAAAACAATCATGTGCGTGCTCGGAAAATGGGAAAGTTACATTTGTCTGTTTTTTCTATAGATCGAGAGCATGAAAAGTGATAGAGAAGCAGAGAATGGCCACAAGGAGAAAAGAAGAAACTCCTCGCCCTCACTCCAATCGTCAACGCTCTCACCAGAAAAAAAAGTCAGCAAACGTAATCTCAAGCTCGTTCTTCATGGAGCGAAGATCCAGCTCTCTACTTCTAGAGGCTATCCTCACAAAACTACTTCCACCAGCTCATTTCGAATACTTGTACTCCAAGCTGCCCCTTGTCTCTGTTGATTAGCTTGCGGGGATAATAGGAAACAAATATATTTATTAATTAATACCTTCCTTAATGTATTGTTTCCATAGTTGTTCTCCTATTATGATTAGAATTCTCTCTTGTAATCTCTATATATATAGAGATGTATCTTTCAATATACAATAAGACCAATTATTATTAAATTTTATGAAAATCGCATGTCAATGAAACTGGTTGGTCCCTAATAACAAAAGGCTAAACTTTATTAGAACAAGCTTCAATTCAATTGGTAATAACTTAAACTTTATTAGAACAAGCTTCAATTCAATTGGTAATAACTTGATAGGTCCTCATTGAATTGGCCAAATTCACAATAACTAAATTCAATCCCCCTGAGGAAGAACAACACAACATGCATGCAGTAGTACAGTTAACTAGCACTTCACTGAAATGGGAATGGCTCTGAGGGGCTTATCAAAGTCCATGTCCTTGGGATCCATATTGCCCTCAAGCCTCCAATCAAAAGAGTTGATCAGTGACCCCAGCATCAAATGCATCATCCTAATGGCGAGCGGGGAGCCCGGGCAGATGCGACGACCGCTCCCAAACGGGGTCAGCTTGAAATGCCTGCCTTTGACATCAATCTCCGACCCCAAAAACCGCTCGGGCAGGAACGAGTTCGCGTCCTCCCATGCGGTTTCGCTCCTCCCGATGGCCCACTCGTTGATGAGGACTTGGGCGCCTCGAGGGATAGTGTACCCTCCAGGAACTAGGACATCCGTTTTGGCCCTTCGCGGGAGCAAAAGCGGGGCGGGCGGGTGTAGCCGCAGGCTCTCCTTGACCACGGCTTCCAAGTAGGGAAGGCGCCCGATGTCCGATTCCTCCATTGCCTTCCCCAATCCGATGGTTTGCTCCAATTCTCTCTTGGCTTTTGACATTACCTCTGGGTTGTGGACTAGTTCGCTCAGTGCCTTTTCTAGTCCATAAGCTGTTGTATCTGTTCCCGCCACCAGTAAATCCTATATATACACACACACACACACACACATAAATTTTGATTAAAAAAAGGAAAAATTACCCAAAATAATCTCAACTTTATCCAGTATTTCAAAAATAATCCAATCGATGCATAATAATCTCAACTTTAGTGAAATTTGCCAGTTTTGGGTTGCCGTTAAGTTTCTAACTGAGGGTTAACGGAAATGCCCGTTTTAGGCAACAAAATGAAAGTTGGGATTATTTTTGATGAATTTTCATTTTTTTTATTTTTTTCATTTAAATTTTTTAAATTACTTTCTACCTCCATCATTATTTCTTTTTCCTTTTTTAAAGATTAGTCTTAGTTTAAAAAAATAAAAATAATAGATATAAAAAATGAGAAATGTAACTAAAATAATACAAAAATTTTACTAAAAATGAAAAAATGAGAAATGATACAAAAATAATAAAATAAATAAGCTAATCAATGGAAAATAACTTGAAATTGGTAAAAGTAAAATAAAAACATAAGGGTGGGTTTTAATATTTTACGCATTATACAAAGTATTAACATATCACTTCTTATTTTTTAGAAAAAATTATCTACAATAATTCCAACTTTACCAGACGGCTTGTTCTTTTAAAAAATAAGTAGTACATTAAGACTCCGTATAGTATATAAAATGTTAAAACCCACCACTCCGTATATATTTATTTTATTTCTTACCAGTTTCTGTTTAATTTCTATTGATTACATTATTTATTTGATTAATTTTGTATGGTTTAAGTTATTTTTCTCATTTTCATTATTTTTTAAATTTTTTTTCTAAGGTAAGAATAATCTTTAAAAAAGAAAAAGAAATGGAGGTTGAAAGTAATTCAAAAAATTTAAATAAAAATTTCAAAAAAATTATAAAACAAAAATTCATCAAAAATAATCCCAACTTTCATTTTGTTGCCTAAAACGGGCATTTCCGTTAACCATCTGTTAGAAATTTAACGGCAACCCAAAACTGGCAAATTTCAATATAGTTGGGATTATTATGCATCACAGTGAAAGGTGAGATTATTTTTGAAAGACTGGGTAAAGTTGTGATTATTTTGGATAATTTTTCCTTAAAAAAACATAAATAATTCTTAGGATAAATTCCCAAAATGGTCCTTTGTAATAAAGTATTTCCCAATTCAGTCTTCAATAAGTTTTAATTACTTACATGGTCCTTTACAATTGAGATCTATTCCCAAGATAGTCCTTCGTAAATAATGTTACTCAAATGATGATTAATTTGGAGATATTTTGGTATTTTGATCATCCAAATTCTAAAGTATATTCTCGAAATAGTCATTTCTGTACAACTAAATGTAAAAATTAAAAAAAAAACATTGACTATAAATAATTAATGAATTATTTAAAACTTAAAAAAAATCTTTTAAATTTTAAATCAAATGCACATCTTTAATTAGAAAAACGATTTTGGGAAAGCACTTCATTATAAATGATCATTTATAGAATTATTTCTAAATTTATTAGCGGATAAAAAATACCCAAATATCCCTAATTAATCCTCATTTGAGAAACATTATTTACGAAGGACCATCTTGGGAATAAATCTTAATTATAGAGCACCACGTAAGTAATTAAAACTTATTGAGAATTGATTTGGAAAAATACCTTATTACAAATGATTATTTTGGAAATTTACTCTAACTCTTATTAGGTAAACCTCAAAAAATCATTTTTATTAGGAGAAAGACTTTTATGTAAGAAGGGGAGTATGACAAATATGTACCAGCAACAAGTGTCTAATCTTCTTCCTATCCATCCTCTTGATATCCTCTTGAGAAATGTCCAACAAAGTGTCCAACATATCATTGTTACTCAAGTAACTTTCCCCTTCTCTTTCCCTCACCCGGTCATCGATGAGGCGGTCCAGCACCCGAAAAAACCGGGTGAGGTAGGAGGCGGTGTGCCTCCGGACGCCCTGCGGGTCGAAAATCTTCAGCACGGGGAGAAAGTCGACCACGTTCGGCGTTCCGGTGGCTTTCAGGAGAGTGGACACCAAATCTTTGAACTCGCCGTCGTCGTCCACCGCCGACTTGACGATGAAGTCTTGGGAGACGAATGTGTAAGAGAGGAAGTTGATGCAGGCCTTGAATGCTGCCCTTCCCACATCCACCACCTCACCTAATTGGTTTTGTAATTAAGATAGGATATACGGAGTAACACATTGGGAAATTCATCAAATGACCATTAATTTGAGAAACCATTTTAAGTTAGAAGTTGGGCATGATTGCATGAATGATTACAAGTTTGAGTTTATACTCTATGTGTACCTATTTAAATTATTTATTTACTATTCATATTCTAAATTTTAACAACCTTCTTTATTCACTTTTGCTAGCAATTTGATAAAATAATATATTCTTGTCACCCCCTATTTTTAAATAAATTTCATTGAAAATGATTTCACGACAAACTTCGTATACAACAAGAAGCGATTTAAATTGGGACGGAGAGAGTACAACTTACACTACCTCAAATTGGAAAATTAGAAAATACTTCATCCGTCCCTAAAAATCTTTTCTATATTAATTTTTTTAATAGATTTGAAGGAAGTGTATTTTGGTATTGAATTTCTAAAAATGTCATTAGTTGTAATAGGTAAAAGTAGGATATGATAGGTAGATGACTAATAGTAAAAAAGTATAATGTGATAAGTATTGTAAAAATTAATAGGAGTAAAAAAGGAGTTTTTAATAGAAATAACAATATTTTCTGGGACGGATTAAAAGTGAATAAGCAAAAAATTTTAAGAACGAATAAAATACTTTGTAATACTCCCTCCGTCCATGTATGATCTTCCCATCACGCGTTACGAGGCTTGACCGACTTTATTTTCAATTCAATTTAATTGATTATAGGAGTAAAATTTTAAAATAAAATTTATATAGTAATAAACTACATGAAAAGTTCTACAAAACTAGAGGTGACAAGACTATATTATTTTATGAAATGACTAGTAAAATTGAGTAAATAAAGTGACTAAAGTTTGACCCTGTGAATAGTGTTTGGAAAGATCTATGGTGGACAGAGGGAGTACTCCGTAATTTCTTATAGGTAGTGTTTGAGAAGTATGAGAACTAATTTTTTATTTCAAAAATAAATTTTAAGTCAAACTCAGATAGGATTTAAAACTAAAATTTCGGTTCTCAAAGATGCCGGTATAACTTAATCCATTTTCAATAATCAAGTGACTTATCTGGTTCATAAAAAAAAGTGACTTCTCTGATTCATCAAAAAAGAAAGAGCAATGCTAAGGGTACACCTTTGGTGTATCCCATTTGTCCCCCCACCCCCTTTTTCACCATTCATTTTTATTTACTTTTTATTTATTTATTTTTTTAAAAAAATCCTTGTCCATTTATGTGGTAGAGGAGGAGATAGGGGACAAATGGGGTATACCTTTGGTTCATCAAAAATGGGATACACCTTTAGAAATATAATTAGAACTGAATTTGATGATTTGATTACACATAAATCCGCTATTTATAATAGCTACAAGACCAAGACCTAAATACGAGCCCAACAAGAATGAGCTCGTTAACAACAAACCCTACTACATTCCTTAACACTCCCCCTCAAGTTGAGCATGAGGTTAACGAATGCACAACTTGGACAATTAAAACAAAACTAAGACTAAAAAAACTTGATAAACAACTTGAACTTGATCTATTGTGAGGAATGCATCTTAGCCCTTCATATAATAATGGTGTACCCCATTGTACAACATGCATCCTAGCACTTTTGATAATACTAAATTACTCCCTCCGTCCACAAATAAACTTTACGTTCACTATTCATAGGGTCAAACTTTATTCATTTTGTTGGCCTATTTTCGTCACCTATTTGATAAAATAATATAGTAATGTCACATCTAGTTTTGTAGATCTTTTGATATAGTTTTTTAATATGTAATTTTTATTTTTCAATTCTACACCATTTTTCATATAAAATGATTTGAAAATAACTTCAGTCAAACATCGTAACGCGCAATGTAAAGTTTATTTGTGGACGGAGGGAGTATAAAATAGGATACTTTTAGATTTTATTTTAAAATGAATTTATTGATAATGAATACTACCTCGTATTTGTCCAGTTTGATTTTTTCGAGTCAAATTGGACAAACTTTGAACTTCAATTATTCTCAATTTATATTGCATATTAGCATAATGAAATACAATTTTGAAAGTTCTAAATACGATAAATCTAATAAAGTCATTTTTATATTAAAATACATTACGGTTTTTATTTAATTGAAGTTCAAAGTTTGTCTAGTTTGACTCAAAAAAGTCAAACTGAACAAATACACTGGGATAGAGGAAGTATATATTATAACTAAACACTTGGTCCGTCCCTAAGTGTTTGTCCACTTTTGACTTTTGGAACTGTTCATCTAAGCATTTTGACTCATCAAATTCTTTCAATGTGTAAGCCTAAAAATAGTCATGTGTGATCTTAATTTAATATAGATTATTAAAATATAATTTTTATAATTTTTTAATATACAAATTACAAGATAAAATGGATTAAAAAAGTGCATTGGATGGTGTGCAAAAATTAAAAGTGGACAAACACTCATGGACGGAGGGGGAGTATATTTTTTCATATTTTATGGCCAAAGTTAGAAATTTTTGACCAAAAAAAAGCAAACAAGATAAGTCTAGGACAGAGGAAGTAAATTTTAAAAAACTACCTCTATCTCCCAAAACTTTTCCATTTTGGAAAAAGATGGACATTAAGGAATATGTAATTTTGTAACTGGTATTATTTTCCAATTTTGACCTTATTTTATACTTCCTCTATCCCAAAAATATTAAATGACAAACTTCACTATTCAAAAATCACAGATTTTTTTTTTAAATGTGTGCATTTTTATTGATTATTTGGTAAACTAAAATATTCTTGTCGCTTCTTCTTTTGTAAAAACTTTTTCCGTTGTTTTTAAATATATGTTTTATTTTTTATTTTTTTACAAATCTTTAAATAAAATGAATTTAAAAAATTAGAAATTTTGTTTCATTTCATGTAATGTAGTAACCTTTTTGGGAACAATTTTTAAAAGTAAATGGACTATCAACGTACTTATGAAAAAACTAGAGAGACTATTTGTACAGGACCATGCTACACTTACACCAAAAAATATACCCCATTTGTACACCACAGGTTTGCACAAACATTTTGATGATTTACACCAATACAAGTGTTGGTGCGTTAATAAAAATTCACACGGACACAAATGTTGGTGCGTTTAACAAAAATTAGTTTTACACTAACACGAAGTGTTGGTGCAAAACTGCGGGGTACAAATTGAGGTACAAAACTTGGGGTACACATAGCATAATCCATTTGTACATTTAACTCTAGGAGGGAGGACATACTCTACATCAAATTACATCATCACTCTTTACTACTCACTTAGTTCTGAGTAGGTTTTGACTTTTTTACACTGGAATAATTAAACAAGAATTACATGTTATATCAATTAGGTATATAAATTTTTAAAGAATATTTTACAACATAAATTTAATTATAATAATCTTGTATTAATATATAATACATAATTCTATTTAAATAATGGTCCAAATATATCAAATTTTAGTATGGATAAATGGCCGACCTTTGATGCTGCTCTGGTGCATGTCGCCGAGAAGGTCTTGCAACTTCTTGCGCCGGAGGTTTTCGCTGCGGTCAAGAGTGTTGTTGGAGAACAACCTCTGATGACAGATTTTCCTCAGGTCTTGCCAGAGCGGCGAGACCGGGAGGAAAACCAGGCTGGACAAGTTGTGGTCGTGAGCGGTCGTGACGTCCGGTACGGAGCGGTCGGAGAACAGGGCGTCATGGGTGTGGAGGATCTCCCTCGCCATGTCGTCCGAGGAGACTATTACGGTCGTCTCCCGGCCGGCAATTTGCACCCGCATTACCGGGCCGTACTCCTCCGCGAGCCTCGCCAGTGTCTGCTGCGGCTTGTGGAACAGGTCCGAGAGGTTGGAGATGAGGGTAAAAATGGAAGGCCCGGGTGGGAGCTTCTTTTTGTGCTTGGTTTTTGTGATGGTTCTTAGGAGTGAGTGGAGAGTGTATAGTGCCAAGAAGAGAAAGAGCACTCCACATGAGCTGATTGAATCCATTTTTCTGATCTAATCTCACCAATTGAAGGAAAATATGTTGTGAAATATATAGGTGTCTTACACTCTTACTTCCATGCATCAATCAACAATGGGCAGACCCAATATGAGAGGAGTGGAGTCAATTCACACTACCTACTGCCATTTTTTGTAGGATTATGATATGTGTACCCAAAGATTTGTACCCCAATTTGTACCCCGCAATTTTGCACCAATATTTTGTGTTGGTGTAAAACTAATTTTTGTTAAACGCACCAACATTTGTGTCCGTGTGAATTTTTATTAACGCACCAACACATGTGTCGGTGTAAACCATCGAAATGTTTGTGTAAACCTGTGGTGTACAAATGGGGTATATTTGTTGGTGTAAGTGTAGCATGGTCCTTTTTTGTATCATCTCTCTACTATTTGCTTCATTTGTTTTGTATCATATTTAATGTAACACTTTGAGTATCAATATCTTTATCAATTGATAGATTTATATTACACGGGGAATAAAAATATAAAGAGTAATATTTCAAAATTTAATTATTGATATTCGATTAATTCGTTGTACAATTAACTTCTCATTTGACTTTTTACGGGTCTCCAATGCAACACTTTGACCATTAACATATGTGTGTGTGTGTAAAATATATTATAAAAACATTATATTTCAAAATTATGTTTCAAAATGAATCTATTGATAACAAATTTATATGATTATTCAATGTATTTTTTCCATAATATGCGGTTAAAATTTAAAATGTTTGACTAGAAAAGTCAAACTAAGGAGTTAGTTTTAGGACGGAGGCATTACTTTTGCATTACTTGTGTTCAAAGATCAAAAAAATTGACCATAAGTCTAATTAGAATGATTCAAACAGGATGGAGTTGTATTGCTCGAATAATAAAATTAAGTACATTTCCAAAATAGTCCTTTTTATTTAGATGTTTTCTAAAATCTGTCATCAATAAGTTCTAACTTCTAATTACCTATGTGCGATACATGTTAGACAAACGAGCAACTCTAGAGGGGGGTGAATAGAGTTGTTTTCAGGAATGTGCGTTTTTCGTGTGTGTGGAAAAAAATCGCAGGAATAAATATAAAGAGTAAGGGAAAGAAGAACACCAAGATTTATACTGGTTCACCACCTCGTGGCTAATCTAGTCCTCCGAAAGACTCTTTCAAAGGTCCTACTAATCTTCAAGCTTCAACGGGTGCTTGAAAAATCGGTATAACTCGAGAACTAAAATCACACAAGCCTCAACTTCTTACAACAATAAGACTTGAGTCACACAAGTTTTAAGAACAACTCAAACAAGATGAGTTTTACAACACAAGAAATGAAGCTCACAAATGAGCAAGTAGTGTTTAAAGTGTAAGCTCTATGAATGACAAAATCTGTGCACTCAAGAAAATATATTTCTAGCTCTCAAAATATTATTTTGATTATCAAGAATGGAGCAAGAATCAAAAGCAATGAATGAGGAGATTGGAGTGCTTGTATTGTAGTTAGAATGAAGGTGGAAGATGGATTATATATGTGAAAAATGAATATGTCCGTTGGGACAAAAGATAAGGCTAAGGATGAGATCAACGGATAAAAAAATCGATTAATTGGGAGGTAAAAATCGATTATTTTTCTTTCCCAAAAACTAAAAGAAACTGCACCTGGTGATAGTCGATTATCAGCTTTATGATAATCGATTATCCAAACATCTGCAGGTCTTGATAGTCGATTTACAAAAGTTAATAATTGATTATCAGGACCTTCTCAAGAGGGAAATTGATTTTTCAAAGATTGAGAAAATCGATTAAAATTCTGGGCGAAAAGCCAGATCTGAGCTAGGAGAAAAAATCGATTTTTACAAGTGAAATAATCGATTAATGGTGTGAATAATGCAGTGACAGTAAGAATCAATCAATTGGCGAGATGATGAAGGACATTTGTCCGTATCTAGTTGTTCCAAACATGATTCCTGCACAAATAGACTCCCAATCACATCTCCATTTATTAAAAAAAACTAATTTTGAAAAATTGGAATGGTTTGTGAATTTGGGGAGTAGAAATTGAGTCCCAAAAAGAAATTGTGTGTCAAATGATAAAAAATACGGAGTATTTGAGTAAAAAATATTTTTACTTCCCAAAAATATTTTCTAATATCAAAATAATCATCTTAAAAATGTTTGACACATCTTTTTGTAACTGACTCAATGAATTTATTTTTGAACCATTAAAATATTTTTCAACTGACTCCAAAAATAAATATACTTTTTAATGTATATCCCTCGAGAAAAAAATAATTTTAAGTAAAACGATATTTTGTCATCCTTACAAAATTTCCTAGACTCAAAATAAAATAAAAGTCTTCGAAAAACTTCTCTTCACTTCGAAATCTTGCGTAGAGACTTGAATGCCGAAATATTGACGTTGTAAATTTCTTGATGTGTCTCTTTTGCTTTCTTGAACCGAAAATAAATTTTCGTTCAGTGTTGCGTTTGTCATTTATCAAAACCTGAAAAAAAATAATTTCAAGAAAATATCTAAAGGGGTTTGAACTCATGTCCAAGAATACATATATTATTGATGGGTGTATTTACACCCCGATCGTGACCTGGTTCCGGTCTACCAGAAACCCGCCCGCGAGATTTCTAGATTGACACAATAAGTAGTGGAGAAAAGAGAAAATGACACACTCAAAGTATCAAGGAGCCTTTACAAGTGTGATCTCCGTGACCAAGTAAACTCGAGATGATTCATCAGGCCTCTAGCCTGACTTTCAGAGTTTACCCATGCCTATCCGTGTAGAGGTAACCTTAACAGGTTGGATCTCATACACCTACCGGAGTGTCTTGAAGATTACCCAGGTGCAACATAAGTGACCTGGTGAAAAGCACAATATACCTTCGAGAGATCACCTGGTAGCTTTGGACCAAAACCCACCAAGATGGATTCTAACCTTGTACGACGAGAGCAAACCTAGTGCGATAATCTAGTCGTTTTTACCAATATGCGATCAAATTTTAATTTATTTCTTGGTGATCATTCGACCGAGTCTGAAGAAGTCCTCATAAATGGAGCTGATCCTTGTTACTTTGTGTCATATGTGTGCCCCACCATTCAATGATATTATTAAAGAGCGTGCCAGGGAGGAGGTATCAAACAAATGGCAATGTTCCCACTCGTTTTTTCTTTTTCTCTCAGTACCCCACTCTCTTGTACTTTGTAATTGTGGGTTTTTTCAATTCTCTCACAAAAAATTTACAAATAAGATAAATTATTTCGTGGATCAAAGGTTTATGCTCAATTTATGAATCTTAGTGTATTTGTAACATTAAGGAAGTGAGTCTTTAAAAAAATATTTACATATAAGCTCATTAAAAATATGAAAAAATTCACATTTTGAATGTGAATCAATCATGTAAGCATCATTCTAAAAATAAAATTATTTGAGTTTTAGGAAAATCTACTAGCTAAGGTAATAGACAAGCTCACACAAGTTCAATTCACAGGGGAGAAGATGCAGTATGACTCACTATGCATCATCAGATTGTAAAAATATAAATAAAATTTTAATTACATTATAATATAATCAATCACACACAAAAAAACTGACTCAATTTAATTTAATCTTCTGTTCTTGAAATAATGTTGCACTTTTCATTTTAAACTTGTGACTTTTCAGAAAATCAATACGTGGTTACTATTGTTTCTTTATTTTCAATGTAAGTTTCAAAAATACTTAATTAATTCTTTTTATGGCAAATTCTAACGTGGTTTTAAGGTTCACACTCATTTTATGAACCTTAGTACATAATCATCATAAAAGAATTAGACTTTTTGTAAAAGAGAAAAAACTCATTTCTAAGCTAATGAAAAATGCGAAAAAATCCATATTTTACATGTATACCTTAGAACCATAGAAACATTACTTATTTTCATTAGATCCTTTATTTCCACATGCTTTTAACATTTAATGAAGCCAAGTTGTCGAAATATTTTAGAAACGTATGGTAGGACTGTAGGAGTATTTAAATAGGAGTACTAATGTAACTTCGGCCCGGTTTCGTGGCTATTGGAATCCAGTGGCCACAAAAGCCACTGCCCCCCTACGAACCTCTGTTCATAAAATTGATGATTCCTACCCCCTAACCCCCCCCCCCGCCAAGTCCCGACACAAAATCATCCCCCCACCTACGTCAATTGCACCTCGTAAGTATAATTGACTTTAAAGTCAAAACTTTTCACTTTATACTTACGAGGTGCAATTGACGTGGGTGTGGGGATGTGTTTGGGTCGAGACTTGGCAGGAGGGTTTACCGGGGGGTTAGGGGGTAGGAATTATCAATTTTATGAACGGAGACCCGTAGAGGACAGTAGCTTCCATGGCCACTGGAATCTATTAGCCACAGAACCGAGCCGGTGTAACTTTTACAAATAAAATTAACTGATACCGAGTAATATATATTTAAAACTTTACAAAATTTGATCGAAACAACTTTTGGGGGTGGGGAATATGTGACGGTGATTTGCACGTTTTCAATGAACAAATAATTTCGAAGAAAGATAATACCTCCGTCTCATTTTATAATGCTTGTTTCGGTTTACGATGTTTGACTGAAATTATTTTCAAACCAGTTTATATGACAAGTAGTATAGAATTAAAAAATAAAAATTACATATTAAAAAACTACATCAAAAGATCTACAAAACTAGTAGTGACAATAATATTTTATTTTATCAAATTGCTAACGAAAATAGAGAAAGAAAGTGAATGAAGTTTGACCCTGTGAATAGTAAACAAGCATTATAATTTGGGACGGAGGGAGGAGTAATGTATCGATCAACCATATAAAAGCCATTTTTCCTCTCCCAATGAAAAATTCATGGATAAAATTTTAATGATGTATATTAATTCTAAAAACGCTAACGATAAAGGCTACCGTTGAATAGTAATTACAAAACACTAATGCAAATTTTTAATGTTGATACCAAACGAGACCTTAATTAATAAAGAAAATCTCTTTTAATACCAAACTTTTATTTCCGAAAGTAGTATAGTAACTCTTTCTACTCTTTTTTCATCCCACTCCCCTACTTTTACTCTATTAAATTTTATTTAATCTATCCCATTATACTTATAATGTACTAAAAATCTACTTAATATTGGTACCATATAATTCAGAGGATAAAGCTCCTTACAGGATTTTTCTTTTAGGTTTTTTACCTCGATGCCTTTTTTGAATCGATAAGTTAGACTTAGGGTTTATTATTAGGGTTTCTCTTTTGATATAAAAAGGGAGGCAAACCCGTAGGAGGACTATCAATAAGAAAACATTAAACCCATCTTTTTTTTTCTTCCCTTTCCCCTTTGGAGTTCGGAGATACTCGAAGCTCTCCTTGACCTGATACATTTCCATATCAAAGTGCTCTCGTTGAGAGACATGACAGATGCCTCGTCTAATTCCCCAGATCTGGAACCTAGGGTTCACGAGATGGGACGAGCGATGGTGCAGTTGCAGCAGGACTTGGAGTTCTGGATGGATCGAATACATGCAACGCTGGTAGAGCTGCGAGCCTACATCACCACCCAGCAAGTCGGCGGTAACAATATCGGGCGTATGGGGCGTCCAAACTACGACACGACCCCTGGGTTTATCACGCAAAAGCCCAAGTTAGAGCCGCCTAAAAGAGACGGCACAGAGCCCTTACATTGGTTGTATCAAGTCCAAGAATACTTTACCTGCTATGAGCTACCTCTAGGCGAACGCCTAAGTTGTGCGACCACGATGTTAGAAGGAGTAGCCGCAGACTGGTATAGATGGACGAGGAACAATGGGTTGATCAGCGATTGGGACGACTTTGTACGTAAGTTTATACTCCGATTCAACCCATTGCATTACGTAGATTACTTGGGGAAACTGGCCCAGACCAGGCATATCGGTGCGATAATGGATTACCATGCGGCATTTGAAAAAATCCCGACCCATGTGGCGGACGTGCAAGAATCCACGTTGCAATCGTTATATCACGCGGGTCTTAAAGCCCACTTGCAGCATGAGATCAGCCTCTTAAAACCTACTAGTCTTTCTGAATCATTCGCCTTAGCGCGAAATTAGAGGCCAAGCACAATGCCCTAGTTCAATCTGTATGGGGCGCAAAGTACTTCATGGAACCCTATTTTCTCACGAGGGTGTGTAACACCCTAATCCGTCCAGGTCTGTAGCCCCTCCGGACTAAATTATTAAATTGGTAATCATGTAAATTTCAAACATTTCCAAACACTTTTGTTGATCATGAGAATAATATTCAAAACAGTAACAGTACGGAGTTTTCAAAATTAATAAAATTAAAAGGTCATCGATAAAGACTAACATCAAACTTGTAACACCCTAATCCGTCCACGTCTGCAGCCCCTTTCAGACTAAAGTATTAACTTGGTAATCGTAAAAATTGAGAATATTTCAAACATTATTATTCATCATAAAAATAATATTCATAACAATAACAATATGGAGTTTTCAATATTGCGGAAGCTTAACAAATCATAATCACAAACATAATTTATTTATGTTCTTCAATTCAAAACCATCACATCCATTTCGACAATCTTGCCTCCATCTGCCTCCAGGATCACGTCACATCATTTTTTCTATTAACCTGCGTGTAGCAAATAAAACATATTACACGCTCAGTGTTGAAGCTAAGTAAGGATATCTAATGCGTTGAACATCCACATAAATTGAATCTCAATTCATAATCAAATCATTTGATATCATGCACATAGTATTTAATTCAAGCGTTCATCATTCACGACATTCATAATACTTCAAGTCATTTCATGATATATACAATATTCAATATTCAGTATTTCAACAGTGCTCTTATATTATTTTTAATCTATGGTCAAATCATTTTGATAATAAGCTCTTAAACTATTCCTAGTCTAAGGCCATATTTCTAACCGGACTCTTAAACTATAAATAGTTTAAGGCAGAACACAAGAACTGATGATCAATCCTATGAGTCTTATGGATCACGTACGAACCGAACAGTGAACTGTCGGGTGGGTGATATCCCGAAACAAGTGATCCTTGAGTTTGGTTTGGATCCCGTACGTATGTTTTAACCCTAGATTGCTGAATTGGTCACATAGATATATCTTAGAGTTCTTCAAGATATCATTAATAATCAACATCACTTATCTAAATGGGTATATCTTAGAGTTGTTCTAGATACCCTTAACAATACACATCATTTTCATGATCATCAATATATCCATTTTTAGTCATGATTTAATCATTCATTATCATTATTTTAATCAGAATATTCATTAAAGTTTAATCATCATAATCATTAATCAATAATAATCATCATAATATCCAATAACAAATACCGGCCTAGCGTCGAGTTTTAACACTCTAGCTTACCGTCATACATCACATAAGATTTTTATTTGTCAAAAACATCATTTCTATTTCGAGAAATCATATTTATATTGATCATAATTGATTGATATCAAAAAAAGAATTTTAGAGCTCCAAAAATAGCATGTTCCAAAAAATGTTCGGATCCGTCAGCTCGGGTGATCAATCCAACCCTTATGATCAATCACCATGTGATCGATCCACTACTTATGATCGATCACCCGAAGGAGTGAATGAGTTCTATTTACTATTCATCGTCTCCTACCTTTGGCCACTTTTCTCCAACTTCATTTTAGGTCACCAAACTTTAATTAAATTATATGGAAATGTTCTCTAAGGTTCATAGATCATTTTGGTATCATTAATTTATTGTTTTAACAAAAATTCAAGGTTTATGATTCTTAGTTTTTCAAACATGTCTAAGACAAAACTCAATCAAACGACCGTTTGTAAACGTAGAAATGATCTATATGAACATTCTAATCACTAGATATATCTAAGGGCTTATCTTGGAGCTTAAAGATGATTCCACCGGTTGAACAGTGGAACTTCCAGCAAACACTATAGCTTGCTCCGGCGACTTCTCACCAAATTGAGAGCACCAATGAAATCTCCACACTCATATCTATCTCTTAGAACTTATTTGGAGTGAAATGGTGAACAAATGGGAAGTTGAGGGTACTCCTTATATAGCCTAAAGGTAGGGGATGAAGCCAAAGAAGTCTTCTTCAAGGATCGTGCAATTGGCGTAGTGCAAAGGACGACGATTCGTAGGATTTTACACGCCACTCTCTGATGTTGGAATGCATGAGTTCAACCCTTTCTGTGTTGTTAAGTGTTGACTCACAGGTTTTGATAATTGACAAACACAATTTATTCAAGTCAAGATCAAAGCGCTACAATGACAAACACGAAGACTTGAAGTGCCATTCCTTGAAGTATTCAAGAAGGTGCACAAGATTTTATTGGAGCCCAAGACGCGTGTGGAGCGCCTAACAGAGGACTCGGAGGAGTACAAGATTTCCGAAGACCTTTTATTTATTTGAGGCTTAGGAACTATTGTAAGGATGACAAAAATATCTTCTCTCCAAAATTATTTTTATGAGAGTTAAAATAAAAATTATATTTATTTTTGGAGTCAGTTGAAAAATCCTTTTAACTGTTCAAAATAGTTTTATTGAGTCAGTTACAAAAAGTGTGTCAAACATTTATCAAATATTTATTTTGATATTATAAAATATTTTTGGTAAGAAAAAATATTTTATTCAAATATTTTTCGTGTACATCATTTGACACACAAAATAATTTTTGGACTCACTTTTACTCCCTTATTCAAATTCATTGAATAAGAGAGGAGGAGCGCTCCATGATTCTTCTTGTCTCAAACAACGAGTTTGAGCCAATTCACTCTCAATCGCAACTGGCCTTGGGCCCTTTGTGTTTTGCCCATTATTTCTTTTTGTAATCGATTATATTTCTCTGTTTAATCGATTAACCTTCGTTCGCATTCCATTAATCGATTATTCTCTTGTTTTAATCGATTAGTCCTCTCAGAGCTTTCTAATCGATTAATCCCTTTGCATTAATCGGTTATTTCCGCGTTGAAGGAACTCTGCACAGACTGCATTAATCGATTATTTACACTGCATTAATCGATTATTATGCTGCATTTTTCATCACAGCTTCTTTTCTTGGACCAACGGATATATTCCTTCAACCCCTTTATAAACCTCACTCCTTGGTCATTTTTACCATGAACAAGCACTCCAAAAATCCCCCAATCTTGAGGTTATAATCCTCCATTCATTTCTTCCTCAAATAGATATATTTTGAGAGAAAACTAAGTGTTTTCAAGAGAGTGTTCTTGTCATCCATAGAGCTTAATCTTTTCTCATTTCTACTCTTGTGAGAGTTATTGTTGTGAGGTTGAAGAAGATTGTTCTTCTTGTTGTTCAAGACTTATGTGACTTAAGTCTTGGTTGTGAAGTCTTGTAGAGGGAATATCTACGAGCGGTTGTGTCGAGGCTTGTGGGATTCAAGTTCTCGAGTTGTAAACGGTTTGTTAAGCACCCGTAAGCTTAACGGAAGTAGTGGTAGCTTCGAGAGAGTCTCTCGGGGAACTGGACTAGCCACGAGGTGGTGAACCAGTATACATCGGTGTGTTCTTTGCCTTCTCTCTTCCAGTCGGGGTACACTTTTTGGTCCAACTTTCTCTGATTTGAAATATGTTTGCACCGTTGTGATCGTACCGTTAAACTCTATCCAAGGATATAATTTTTATATTTATTTGTAATACTTTTTCCAACATCATATTTTTGGGTGTTTAACTTTGACAGAGTCAAAAATTGGTTTAAATGACCTTTATTTAAAAAAGGTTCTCACATTTAATTCATATTATTTATTCTCATCATTCATTTCTATAAATCATTTCAAAGTTCACATCATGAACACATTTCTTATTTATTCTTAATTTTGGTCTGTACTCTAGTTTCCAATCAAGATTACACAATAAGTCAACATATTAGATTTATCTCTATGAGATTTATCTAGATTATGATATTGGATATCAAAACACATTTCATTTCGGCTCAAAGCCCAATAATAATCTATGTTAATCAAAAAAAATTATTTAATCAAACAAGAATTTAATAATAATTTTAGGGTGTATTTCGGAGCGTTACAAGTTGCATCACGGGATGAAGTCCAACAAAAACAGACCCAAAGCCATCCATTTGGGGAATCCCACCAACCGCAGTAAGGCAAGTCAAAAATTGAGACCCTCGACTCCAATACGCCAGTTAACATGAGCTGAAAAAAGACGTGAAAATGGAGTCGGGACCACCGATGTGGGAGATGTGTATTGATGATGGGCGACGAGGATGACAATGAGGACAAAACAGAGCCCGAGGAGGGGATCGAAGTAGCCGCAGATATTTCTAGTCTATATAGCATGGCATGGGTGACAACCGTGCGGTCGTTGTGGCTGACGGGTTAGGTACTAAGGCGTGATGTGGACGTGCTTATCAACGAAGGGAGTAAACACAATTTTGTCCACCCCTGATTTGGGGAGAATCTGGGAATTGGAGTTGAGGAAGTTACTCATTTCCGCGTTTACGTGGGCAACGAAGATTCCTTGATATGTGACAAAGAGTGCCTAGGAGTATCACTAACCTTTTAGGGGACGACATTCATAGTAGACCTATTTATGCTCCAAATCCATGGGCATGATGTGATATTGGGTTTGCAATGGCTCTGTCAGTTGGGTCGGGTGTCGCATGGTTATGCCAACGTCACAATGGAGTTCAAATGGGGAGAACATACTGTCACATTACAAGGGACCACACCAACTCCCAAACTCATGTCATTACATCACCTTCAAAGTATGCATGCAGAGCACAAGTTAAAGCTCTTGGTGGAAATTTTTGCCATATCTCCGCTGGAACACCCAAACACAACTGTCGCAAGGGAGGAATAGGGTTTGCCCAGGAAGATAGCCCAGATTTTAGAGGATCACCATGAAGTGTTCAAGGAACCAGAGGGCTTACCACCCCGGTGGGAGGCTGATCACCGCATCTTCTTGCGCCCAGGAACGCGGCCCGTGAATGTGTGACCCTATCATTATCCGCACTTCCAGAAGACAGAAATCGAGAAGATGGTAAAAAAGATGATCGAACAGGGATTGATTTGACTCAGCAGGATTCCTTTCTCATTGCCAGTACTTCTTGTCAAGAAAAAGGATGTCATATTTCAATTTTGTGTCAATTATCGGGCTCTCAACACCGTGATAGTACCAGGCCACTACCCCATCCCTATGGCAGATGAACTCCTCGATGAGC